CACAGATACTAGTCCGAGCAGAATAACATCTTCCCAGTAATGGTTGTGGTTCATTAAAGGCTGTTGAAAATAAAAGCCCAGGGTAAAAATTACCGTAAAAACCAACACTAATACTCTGTTGGCTCAGTATTTTCAACGCCGAACTTTCAGAGAGTCAAATTTTTTTCCGGCCTGGCTAAAAAGCAAGAAAAACCAGTCTAAGTAAAAATTGACCGTGGTATGAACGCTGATACCAAAAAGGAAAAGTCGCGGGGAGTTAGGCAGTCTACTGCCACCAAACCAATAACCCGGAAAAGGAATAACAAATTTTCCGCACAAGTAAAAAGCGAGGCCGATGAAACTACACAACAAAGACGTAGCAAAGGCTTTATATTTTTCAATAGTTCTCTTTCACTGGCTAGAAACAGTCATAAAATAATTTATTACGAGACAGGGGAATTTTTGGGGATTTGATATTCTTTTTTTTGTTAGTAGTAATTATTAAATGTTGTAAAATTATTGTTTAGGTTTTCTGAGTTATAAAAGATTTAATAGAGTAAATATTAGTTTGAAAATTTTTTGAGGGAAGGGATACTAATAAATGCTAATAATTATTTTTCCGCACATGAGTATTTATGTTTAGCACGAAAAAAATAAGGCAATGGAACATAAACTTACCCCCCACTCACCTTATCCAAGAAACCACAAACAGAAAACGAAAAAAATTTTTTTGACTATATACGTGGAAACTTGAAGTATCATTAATTACTTCGAAGAAATTTCAATCTTGGCTACTAATTCTTCCTCTCCTTGGGCTTGCTCTTGTTCTAACTTTATTTCTAAGCTAGTTATTTCAGTTTGTAGTTGGCAAAGTTGGTTATTCTGTAATTTGGTCGTCGTCAAAGATTTTTTTTGCTAAATTAAGCGATAAGCGTTTGATTTATCAAAGAAAAAGTGATAATTCATTTTTTAATTTTTTGCTTCACGGGCTAGCCGTATTTTAAATCTCACAGAAGGGGATATTTTTCATATCATAATTAGACGGCTAGTCCGAAATGGAAAAATAATGCGAGTATTCCAAGCTCCGAACGATTGCTTGTGAGCAACAAGTAATCGCAGACCCAAATAAGCAGGTTCCTGGAACTATTTGGATTATCAAATAGGGGAATAAGCCCCACGACCAACGAAAACTTGGAGAACTTCATAATCGAAGCAGAGTAGACCAAGAGAGTAGCTGTTGTATGACGGCGTAAGCGGCCAAGACAAGCCTGATATTTGTTTGCTGAATTTGGCCGAAAAGCGAGAAGTATCGCCAGCGATATTTTTTAACTTTTTTAGCTAATAGGAGCGAGGGGCAACAGGTTTAAAATTTTTTGCCCCACCCTGGGTTGGGGGTTTAGTGGCTTAAAAAGCGAAGCGATAGTCTCCTAATAAGAGATATTGGGTAGACGAAGAAACTATTTATAGTTTCGTAGTCGTCTTAATAATAATGAAAGCGTATTCGCTCATTCACTTACCTTCATTCATACGAGTTGTTTTACTCAAATTTTATTTTTCCGCCAATTTTTTAGAAACATGAACGAAATCAACAATAAACAAAAAAATATCACGCTTCAAGAATATTTAGAAGCGAAATTTGGTAAGAACCGGGTAGTAGTAACCCGAGATCCGCATTACCAAGAACAAGCAGGCGAGGTAGTTCTCTTGGATACTAGCTCACAGGAAAAATCAGATAACGTCGACTGGTTAAAAGGCCGCCCGCTCGACTGAGCCAGCATTGACCAACGCCCGTGAGTAATTAACTCCTGTCAAGACTGTCATTGAGATAGAATGCGTGGTTTGGCGTGAGGTGAGGTGAGGAATTGAGAGAATCTGTTTGCTTTCCGCATTTTTATGGATGGCCAGGCTAAGATGACCAAACGCATAAGTAATGAGCCGTGGGAAGTAGAAGTAATGGAAAAACATTACCATTTACATTTTTACCTTTGTGCTAAGCACTTAGAACAACGCCGCAACGCGGAGGGGGGAAAATAAAACCCCTCCGTTATTTTTCAATTATGGAAGAACTTAAACAAAACAAAACTAAGCAATTAACCCGGAAGCAAATTATTAGTTTATTCTTTGCTAAATTTCCCATCGGCAAACCTTTGAACCAAATGTTTATTGAGCCGAAGGCTTTGCTGACTTTTTTGTCCTTATTACTAAAAAAAGAACAAATCCAAGTGAGAGAGAGCTCGAACGGAACCGGGTTTTTATTGCTTTGTCCTCAATGCGGCAAACAAAACAAACTTTTTTATAGTTATGACGGGAGAATGTTCTTGTGTCTCGATTATCAAAAGTGCGGATGAAAATGCCATAAACTAGTGAAACTTAAGAAGGCTATACATAAATGAGCAAAAACAAGAACTAACTCATTAAACACCGGAGAAACTAATGAAGTATATGTCGATTATGCTTTACACGGGAAAATAGGAATTTGGAGCGATAACCCTTACTTGCGAATTTCTTACCAACCAGAAGACGTGAAGATTAATTGACAAATTGAGGGTGAAGCCTTAGCGATTAAGCAAGGAGTATCGGAGTTTTTGAAACACAAAAAAAAAGAGCAGAAAAAGTTAGTTATTTACACCGATAATAAGACACTCCTTCATTCTTTTCATAGCAAAACCCAAGCCGGTGAATGATGAAAACAAGCCCAGCAAATAGCCGAAAAAAACGAGATCCACCTCGAGTTAAAGTTCATTTCCGGTCAGAAAAATTTCGCCGACCAATTAACCCGAGATACGAGAGTCACTTCGATTCAAAGTGCAAATCTAGCAAAGGCGGATAATAATTCACATCAATTCCAAGGTGATTATAACACCGTCAGAAACAAAAAACATGCCAAATAATAACGAAAATAACCAAAATCAACCACCTCGCCAACTGCCGAATGGGACTATTCCCCGGCCAGAGGAGAAAATAATCGCTTCGGTTCGGTGACGAAGTTCCCAAACTCCCCAACTTAATAAATGCTTTGGTTGCGGAGCAGTATGTTCGTCAAGGAAAGGTCAAAGTAAATTATTATGCGGTAATTGCCTATGATTGAGAAACAAATACCAAAAACAAGCCCAAAAGTGGTGGTTTAAGTTGAAAGAGGACGAAAAAAAGCAATTAGTAGAAGCCAAGAACCCCGAACAATTAGAAAAAGTTTGGCAAGAAGCCAATGACCGACGAAATTTTTGAACTTCATCTTTTTTCCTAGTGCTTTTCTCCCTCATCTTTTTCAGCTGAAATAAGTTTTGAAGTTGATACGAAAGGCCGGTTAAAAAGGAATGAGATTGAGCTGAGGAAAACGAAGACGAGGAGCAAGCAAAACCCGAACCCGAGCCGGAGGAAAAACCAAAACCCCTAAAAGGCTGAAAACGAATAAAAAACTGGGTGCTGGATAACAAAATCCGCCTAATTTCGCTAATTGGAATAATTTGGTCTGGGTTAAGTTCAGTAATTAGAATAGTCAAGTTAGTAAAGTAGCAAAATCACCGGGATTTTTTCCGTTTTGTTCTCCCTTGCAGTCAGTCAGAAAAACAAAACGAGGTTTATAAATTATGACCGTCAAAAAAGTAGTGAATAGCTGTAATTATCAGGGCTATAATAAGCCCAAAAAGGCCTGATGTCGAGATTTAAATCAAAACCGCAAACCAGTTTTGAAAGTAATGGATGGGGTTGAGATAAGCACCTATTTTGAAATGTGTTTTGGCTGTATTAGCAGAATGTTTGAAGAATTTGAAAAAAACCATGTATAATCTCCAACGAAACAATTATCACCAAAATCCCAAGAATAGCAGTATTCAGACCCCCACTGCTGTCAGTGAATTTTTGTTTGATTTGTTAAATAATTTGTTCGACAAACGTGACATTATTTTAGATATTGGCAGCGGCAGAGGTGCTTTATCCAAACCTTGAAAAAAAGCTGGTTTTGAATATGTATGAGGAATAGAAAAGGATGAAA